ATGCGCTGCAGGCAAGAGGCAGATGGCTCAGCCGGTTGTCTGTCCTTCGATACTCCGAGCCTGTTGGCATGCTTCGAAATCGTTCCAGCTTCTTCGCCAGTAGCTACAGCAAGCTTAATATATATATATATATATATATATATATATATATATAAATACGTATATATATATATACCAGCGGCTACCATCGCAGATCCTGGGTCATTTTGCCCCGTCCCGCCTTCGCACTGCTCGGCTTCCTCCTTCGATGTCCCGCGCCAAACGGAAGTCTGGCAATGTTGGTGCGAGCAGGCAAGCTCTCGTGAGCCTCCTGCTCTTTCTTCGTCCGCGGTGAGGCCCCCTCCAGGACAGTGTGTTGTCGCGGGTAGAAACATGGTCCCGCTTTCGTATATTATTCCCTGGGCTTGCGCCCGCTGCCGCCCCCGCCCTCTCGTCGGGGTTACAGCCGCTCTGCGGGGTGAAGGCGGTTTGGGGCTGGGGCGATTGGATGTGTGTCACCGTATCGCTCCACTATCGTAGCCGCTCCCGACGTCACTTTGCCCCTCCTCCTCCTCCTCCTCCTCCTCCTCCTCCTCCTCCTCCTCCTCCTCCTCCTCCTCCTCCTCCTCCTCCTCCCCTGTCCCTTCCAGCGTTGCATTCTATATCTGCTGGACCCGCTGCCAGGGCGCGAGCTGGCGGGCTCTCGTGAGCCTCCTGCGCTTTCTTCTTCCGGGGCGAGACCCCCTCCAGGACCCTGCGTTGCCGTGGGTGAAAACATGGTCCCGCTTTCGTCTTTCATTCCTCGGGTTTGCGCCCACTGCCGCCCTCGTCCTCTCGTCGGGGTTACAGCCGCTCCGCGGGGCAAGGGCTGCCTGGGCCCGGCGCGATTGAAAGCTGTGGTGCCAAGTCTGCTGCATCTTCAGCACGGCTTCGCGACGTAAGCAGTTGCCCCAGGTTGGATCCGGACGCGGTTCGCAAAATGGCCGGGAGTTTCCCCCCATGAACATCAGTTGGCTTCGACAAATTACACCCGAGGTACGCAGCGCTCCAGGATTTTGACGGACTCGGCGCGTTGGCGCTTGTTTAGCAGGGTTCAAAATGATTGGGAAAAGTACCAAAGCAGTTTCCTTGGAACCATACGCCTCGCCCAGGCAAAGCACATGGTGGCAACATATGGGTTTACTTTGCGCCGGCGTGCACCGCGCATGGCAGCGAACTAGATTTCCGCAAGTCCAGCACATGCATCAAGGGCAGCGCAGGCCATACTTGAGGAGCTGCCAAGAGAGGTTATGCTTCTGACTGCGCACGGGTGCAAGCCATTCATTCCGGATCAGAACGTTCATGCCACGAGCATGGCGTGGTATTCGTTGCGGGTTGGACACGATCATCCGGGGCGATACCACTCGATGTTCTACTGATCGAGCTTCAATGGCATGGTCCCCCCGTCTGTTTGCAACAGCTATTAGTCGTCGTCTCGGCGAACATTATTGTGCGCAATGCTTGTTCGCGCGGTTCGGACTCCTGGCAGGTGATGCGCACACTAACATGGCAGCCTAGTGCGAATGCAGTGTACGCCTTCGGTACATTCGTTCCGAGGGCGCCCACGATCGACGTTCAAAGCTGCATGGGCGACGCGGGCCCCCACTACTCGTCTTCGGGCTATGACGTAGCGAAAAGGGCGACAGTGGATGGGATCAGGCAGATCTTCGCGGCAAGCATGGCAGTCGATGCCCCCGCCAACGACAACAAGCTAGCCATAATGGCGAAAGCAAGAGTTCGCGAATGATGTGCGACCGGTTGGAGCTCCGCCGCAGCGTTGTCAAGGTCAGAGTCTCGCGCCTCGGAGTGGACGAAGTTGCTGGAGCCGCCCGCAGGCGGCCCGATGTTTGAGTAAAGCAGCAGTCCAGATTCGCGACCATGATGATAGAGGGTTCGTAAAGTATGAGTCGCGAGAAAATGCTACAATGCCCCGAGGAGACCCCGCTTCGTCACGTTGTTCGTCAAGTGTTTGCGCCAATGTAACGCAGACCCGTCGACGGTACTGTTTGATCAGGTGGAGCTCGGAGTCCAAGGCCAGCTAATGAGTTTTCCCTGGCGCAGAGACTTGGATATCCCCGCTGGCCCCAGGGCGTCTCACGATTCAGTTCGGAATGCAGTTGCTCCGAATGGCAGAAGGTCGAAGGGCGAGTCCTGTCCAACAGCACTGAATCAAGGGCTGCAGCTGCCTAGGGTTGTGAACCGAAGATCGAGCCGAGAGGGCGGAGTACTCCGGATTTCGTAATAAAAGGGAGGGTGTCTGGACCCTCCAAGACAAGCCATTTCAGACCCCCCCCCCGTGGGAGAACCCTCCAAAACACCGTCCCCAGACCCCCCCCAGGCCCTCCAAGATGGCCTGGAAGAGACCCCCCCCGAAATAAGACCCCCTCCCTTTTATTACGAAATCTGGAGTACCTGTGCGACGGCGCGTGCGTGCGTGAGCGCGGCGAAGAGGACACCCATCGGCGGCTCCGCGGCCGCCAAAGCTTGCGGAAGTACGGTGGAAGCGAGGGCCGCCGCAGGAGAGGCCCCGCCCGAGTTCTTGCGGGCCGCGCCGGGCACGCCTGCAGACACTGTCTTCCATGATTCGGATTTTCCTGGCAAATCTCGGGCCGGACGAAAGGGGGGGACAGGGAAAGGGGGGGTTACGAAATTTGCTGCATGCAGCTGGTTTCGGCCTCACCGAGGGGCCCATTCCTCGATGCATAGTCGCCTGCGGCGCCGGGAGGCGCCGGGAAAATCAGCTACGTGAGCTGATTCTCAAACCCCCCCTTTGCTATCCCCCCCTTTCGCCCGACCCGAAAGTCGGCCTCTACTGAGGTGGGCGTTCTGGACAGGGAGGGGAGCTCGGCTCACCTGAACCCCTAGCACGTTGCCGGTCTGACCAGCAGCTACCCTGTCAGGCTGGCTTCGGATGGGTCTGGTTGCGAGCCTGGCCTTCGGCCGCTAGAGAGGTTGACCTGGTCCATCGGCGTTTGTCCCGACGAGGGCGACGAGTCTGCCGCGTTCCGTCGAGGCGCGGCCACAGGGGCTCTGCCCCGTGCCCCATCCGTGGCTGAGCACGTTGGCGTAGCTGTCTGGGGCGTGATTGCAGAGCGGGCCGGCAGAGCTAGCATCAGCTTGCAAGGCCGCTCTCAGAGCTGCCCGTCAGGACGTCGCTCGGCAGCTAGCAGTTTCGAGTCATCTTGCTGGCGTCAGGCATTCCGCCCAGAGCGAAAGGCGCCCCCCCTCAGCCGGGCTGTTTGTCACGTCGAAGCTCACCGTTCTCGAAGGTGTAGATCGTTCGTTCGCCAGGGCCAATACCGCAGTCAGGCAAAAGCGGCCCTGGTCATGCATCCAGCCGCGGACCCAGCGTTGCTTCACGATGTAAATCTCGCCGCCGCCAGAGCACAAGAGTTTCATGACATTGGTTGCGCACTTTCGGCCACTGCTCCCACGTGAGGCAAGGTGGAATAGGTCCACTTGCTTCCGCGCAGGACTGCTCAAGGCTGCGACACAGCTGGCGCACCTGGAAGCAAGGTGGGTTAGGGCATCATTACATCGGGCACCTGGTGGTGGCGGAAGGATTGCCAGACGCGGCGTCTATCGACGAATGTAAAGGTGTATCAAGTTTCCTGAGTGGGCTGTTGTCAAGCTCTTCCGGTCTCTCTCTCGCCGTGGCGGGTCTGGCTCGAGAGACTGGCGGTGATCCCTTGGCGTGCGATGTTCGAGAGCAGGCCGGCGTTTGTCTCAAATTAGGAGGGCGGTATCAAGCGCGACTTGAGAAGCTAGGCCGCCCTTGTGAGCCCCCCACTTGTACAGGCAAAGGGGTCCTTGGCATAGTGCGGCAAGGCAGGTGTCCCAAAGGGCGGGTGCAAGCGTGGCTGGATGAGGCCGTTCCCATGTAACGGCTGCGGCATGACCCGCCCGACCCCACAGGGACCGGAGCCTCCACGGTTGCGAAGACGAGTTTTCCGTGTTCAGGGGCGGCCTTCTCCTACGGGCAGAGAATTGAGTGTTTTGGTTGAGCGCATTCGAGTGAAGGAATGAATGCGTTCGACATGTTCAATCCAAGAGATGGTTCTGCGGGGTCTCTTCCCTGGTTCACTCCCCCATCCTTGATTTGTATTTCAGAAAGCGCTGGGATTGATTCGTGCGGTGCGCTCCCCCTTTATGGACATTTCGTTCCGCCCGATTCCATTCCATCCAATTCCTCTTGTCCTCCTCCTCCTCCTCCTCCTCCTCCTCCTCCTCCACCCCCCACCCCCCTTCACCCCGCCTCTTCGTCATTTCCCTCCATCCCTTTTCCTGTTAAATAACTGCTCCGCGCCGCGCCGCGAGAGTTTACGGGTCAGGCTTTCCGCCTTTCCTCCTTCTCCTCCTCCTCATTCACGTATGTTTCTTTTCGTTGCGGTGCTAAGCCCTTTCATTGGGGATGTTGGGAAGTCTTTTCCTTGGCGGTGGCGGAGGTGGTTGCGCTGCGCCACCTTTTTGGGGGGAAACCTGCCGAACGAATCGGCGTTATCGACTCCGCATAGGTTCGGCTACGCGTAAGAGTGACCTTTAGCTGGAATGACCTTTGGTGCGGGCCTCATTGGGCCCCCCGATGGCTGAATGCGATGCGATAGCAGCTGGTTGCGCGCCTGTCGGTGTCCCCAAGAGGCCCCCCCCTTAGATCGCGCACCAAAGGTAATTGTTGCCTAGGGCCACTCGTGCGTGTAGCCGACAGGTTCCAGCCCCACCCCAAAGAAAATATACTGTAGTCCCAGGCATCGGGCGTCGCGTCGGTCTCACAAAAGGTTTCTCTCCCCAGAGCTCTGGACCTTTTCCCGAGACCATCTTGACATCCTGATCTGCGTCTCGATGGTCCCAGGGCCCGCCTACGGCCCCTGGAACCCGAAACCAACACCTCACAAAGCGTAGTGAAGATTGTATCCGCGACGCGAGAATGGTGCCAAGTGTTCTGTGTTCCAAGTTGGCAGTCTTTTTGCCGCCGCCCCGATAAGGTGAACACCGCCAACATGGACTGGCCCATCTTGTACGCCAATCAGGTCTTCGGATGGCAAGCAAAAAGCAGTATCAGTGCGACGCCGGTCGGACGACCCCATCAGCGCATTGCTTCTGATGACATGCCATGCTTGTGCCTCAGGAGCGAACGTATAGCACGCACTGTTCGAAAGAAGACGACGCGCGTGCCACTGATCTTCTTTCTCCCGCGTGAGGTCTTCAGCAATTTCACCGACGTGCAGGTCAGCCCGCCGCAGCACGCGACGGGCATCGACAAGCCTTTCTGTCCCGACAGCCTCCAG